TCATTTTACACTCTTATTTTCTACTAAGCCTTCAAAACCTCATATTTTATACTTCTAAGCCATCTTAATTTGAACACTAAATTTTCATTAAAAATATTTGATGTTTTTCAATTTTATAAAACATTTGAAGAGATTCATATATCCAAGTTGTGGTGACCACACTTACAAGTGTTCCAATGAATGAACTGAATATCAGTTTTTAAATTATATTTAAATTAATTAAAATTAAGTAGGATGAAAATTCAGTTGCTTAGTCAAGGGTCACAAGCCACATGTGACTAGTGGCTTTCAAGTCTGTACTGACCTTGTAGCTTCTTATTTACTACTATCTACTTTGTATTTTCATTTAATTTTTCCTCACTTAAGGCCAATTGGAGTCTTTTAAACTTTGATCCTTCGTTATGTATTATATCCTACTGGTCAATCTCATTTTGTGCCAGTACCACAGTGATCACTGTAGCTTGACAAAATGTTCACTATCTGGGAGGGATAGTGGGCTGTCTCACTCTAGGACCCATTTTTTTCTTGGTCATTCTTTCTTCATCTAATTATGCTGTAAGTTTGAATAATTTTATCTATCAAAGGAATACAAATGTGATTTTTTGGGGGTGAAATATAGAAATAGAATTGATTTTTCCCTTAGACATACTGAATGCCTTTATTTAAATTTTTAAAAAACATTTTTATTGATATATAATTGTTGTACATATTTCGCGGGTACATGTGATATTTTGATCCCTGTATACAATGTGTAATGATCCAATCAGGGTAATTGGGATATCTATCACCACAAACATTTATCTTTTTTGTTTATTAAGTTATTTTATCTTCCTCCAATATTAGACGAACACAACTAGTTGCTTCTTAGTGGAGAGGTCATCATTCAGAAAATAATTAAAGACAATAGAGGAAGGGATCTCTCACACTTTGGAGAACAAAATGCATTAGCAACTGAGGTAAAAAAAAAAAAAATTACAAGTGAACTTTATACTGAAAACAGCAAGTTAAGAATTTGTCAGTAACTCTATTTCTCAATCTCATCAGCCCACAGGAGGCAAACACAGGCCTGTCAGGATGTCCATGGATCTTGACAGGAGGCCATCTGCTTCCAGCATCACTCAGGAAAGAACTTCTTTCATGGTAAAGAGGGTAGAGGGCCACCTAATGGCTTTCTATAGGAAATACAATCATACGGTTTTCAAGCCACCATCTGTCCTTACTGATAAGAGCTCCAAGAATATGTCTCTGAACAATGTAGAATTGATATTTTACATTTCTCGAGTAGAACAACTTTGTACTTACTATTTCTAATACTTTATCTGCAGATACTTTTGAATTTCTACAAATGCACTCACGTCACAATAATGATTTTGATTTTTCCTTCCCAATTCTCACATTTTATTTTTCTTGTGTTACTGTACTGGTTAGAGCTTCGAGCACAATGCTGAGTAGAAGTGACAGTGGATCTCTGTCTTGTTCCCAAACTCAAACTTCTAACATTTTACCATTAAGAAAGTGGTTTTCTGTTGACTTTATCAGTGTTCAAGAAGTTTCTCTTTCTAGTTTTCTAAGAAGTTTTAAAAAAATGAATGGGTATTAAATTTTATCAAATGCTTTATCTCCTCCGTTGATTAAGATGATCACAGTATTCTCCTTCTGTTTTGAGATGGAGTCTTGCACTGTCGCCCAGGCTGGAGTGCAGTGGTGTGATCTCGGCTCACTGCAAGCTCTGCCTCCCGGGTTCATGCCACTCTCCTGCCTCAGCCTCCTGAGTAGCTGGGATTACAGGCACCCACCACCGCACTCAGCTAAATTTTTTGTATTTTTAGTAGAGACGGGGTTTCACCATATTAGCCAGGATGGTCTCGATCTCCTGACCTCATGATCTGCCCACCTCAGCCTCCCAAAATGCTGGGATTATAGGCGTGAGCCACTGCACCTGGTCTAAAAAGGTTACGTTACCAGTGAAGCCACCTGGGGCCTAGAGTTTTCACTATGACAAAACTTAAATTAGTATTGTTTTTAAAAATGGATACAGAACTATTCAGGATTCTTACTTCTTCTGTGTCAATTTTGGCAAGTTGCATATTTTTCTTTTAATGGTCCCATTCCATCTGTTTCATTTTCAAATTCATTCACATAAAGTTGTTCATCAAATATCCTTCTGGAGGAAAAAAATGTCTGCGGGATTTGGAGGAATGCCCCCTTTTTTATTTCTTACATTGGCTACATATCCCTTCTCTCTTTTTTCCTGGTTAATCTTGCCAGGGGTTTGTCAATATTATTCTTACTCTTTTCAAAGATCCAATTCACGGTTTTTAAGATCCTCTGTACTGTACTTCTTCCCTTAGATATTTAATTTTTGCTCTTATTTATATTTTTCTTTCTTCTACTTCTTTAGGTTTAATTAGCAGTTCGTTTTCTGAGTTACTGAGAGGAATGTTTTTTCTTTTCTAATATTGCTTTTAAAGCAGTGATTTTCAACCTTAGTTGCACACTGGAATCACCTGGAGAGTTTTCAAATGTTTGGAGTGCACCCCTAGAGGTTCTGAGTCAAATGGTCTGAAAAGTGGCTTGGATATCAAAAGCTCCCCAAGTGATTCTAGGTGCAGCTAAGATTGAGAACCACGGATTTAAAGCTATAACCTCTAAGTACAACTTTAACTGCATCCCACAAGTTTTCAATATTTTCTTCATCAACTAAATCGTCTTAAAATTTATGTTCTGATTTAATTTATATACATTTTTAGTGCGGTGGTTCATGCCTGTAATCCCAGCACTTTGGGAGACAGAGACTCAGTTTCAAAAAAAAGAAATAATAATTTATATGCATTTCAAAAATAGCAAATGCAATGCATGGTTTGAGAAGTCAGGTAAATGGTACCTTTGGGGAAGAGGCAGGGGGTTATGAGTGAGGGAAAACACAAGAGGAACTTCTAAAGTATTGGTTAATATTAACTCATGTTTTGAGTGAACAAGAGAATGGAACAGATGGAAAACTATATACAACTTGCCAAAACTGACATAGAAGAAATAAGGAGCCTGAAGTGCTCTGGGTGAACAAGAGATAATATTACCAATACTCTAGACATGTTCAATTTGTGATAATTCACTGAGCTACACACATAGGATTTGTAAATGTTTCTGTAACTTTATATTACACTTAAATATACTTTTTTAAGAGAGAAAACGGATCCCATACAAAGAGTGGGAATTATAACAGCACTAGTCTTCTCAATATTATACTGGACGCTAGAAAAAATAGTATAATGTCTTCTAAATTCTAATGGAAAATGATTTTGAACCTAGAATTCTGTAGTCGGACTTTTTTTTTTTTTTTGGATACAGGGTCTCACTCTGTCACCCAGGATGGAGTGCAGTGGTGCAATCTCCACTCACTGCAACCTCCGCCTCCTAGGCTCAAGCCATTCTCCTGCCTCAGCCTCCTTATTAGCTGGAACTACAGACTTGTGCCACCAACCCAGCTAATTTTTGTATTTTTTGTAGAGACAGGGTTTTGCCATGTTGTCCAGGCTGGTCTCAAACTCCTGAGCTCAAGTGACCCACCCACTTCAGCCTCCCAAAGTGCTAGAAATACAGGTGTGAGCCATAGCACCTGCCCCCAGAAATTTAATCAAATTGTAAGGATAAAATAAAGATATTTTCAGTCAGGAGAGCGCACAGTAAAGTTATCTCCCAGGAATCTTTTCTCATAAATCTGCAGAATGTGCTCCAGTAAAAAGAGGGAATGGATAGGAAGATGAAGACATGGGATCTGGGAAACAAAGACTTCAATATAGGAGGAAGGCAAAGGAAGTTTCCAAATGACAGTTGGGCAGCAGGCCCCAGGAACAAGTGCACTTGGGGGCAGGAGGCGGAAGGGTTCTAGGGTGGGCAACTCCAAAAGAAATTCAAACCAAGAGAACACCTTCCTGTGTGTGACCATTGTGAAATTTCTCAGTTCTGTCACAGTACAGTGATACTTTATTTTATTTTTTACTGTTCTAAAGGTACATCGGCAAGAGTATAGTGATAAATCAGGGGTAGGCACATAGAAAAATCAAACAATTAAAAAACCAAAACATGGAAAATACTACATGTAGGATAAGCAAAGAATGATCCTTCTACCCAAAAAACGTGGTAGTGTAATCACTGTTCAATGCAGCTGTAAATAAGAGTTTTCTGGCCATAACATAAATAGGGATCACTGACGTAGCCATGCATTGTGATACAATGGTATTAAATGAAAGAGAAGAAGGGGCTTTTGTATGCTTTTGTGGTATGAGGGGAGATGCTAGGGGAGGCCATGTAACACAGTATATTCTCATCTTCTACAGTAGGACATCAAAAAAGAAAACTGAAAAACCAAGTGTAAATACAGAGAAGTAAAAAACAACTAAAACAATTTAAATTGCGGGACATGGGGTGGGGAAGGTGCAAGGCAGGCTATTTCTGCTTTCTGTTTTAAAAACTGCAGCACTTCTTTTGTCTTTTTCAATTATTCGTACATAGTATTATCATAAAGATAAAATTAAACTAAGAAAAAATCTATGGAAATAAAAGAGAAAATCCCAGGGCACTAAAAAATCACTTTCAGCTTTAAAACTTTGGATAATCACCAGAATCATCTCTTGAACAAGAATAAGCATATATGTAGCTCACATCAGTAACCATTATTAATTAAATGTTGTTTTAGTCCCAAATTCTCCCCATATGAAGAGCCAAATTATCTATAGGATACATGCAAAATTAATATAGGATACATGCAAAGCCCCCCGCCGGAAGCCAGAACATACAGAACAAATGTTTTCACTTTATCATGCTAGACTGAGTTTATATTATTGTAACTGACATCTAACTTTTCAGGAACACATACGAAGTAAATTTAATCTGTGGTGGAAACACAGGATTATTCTTTTATCTTTTAGGAGCTGATACTTTATTAATGGATCTAGCGCCTAAATCAAAAGAACAGAGAGAGTCTGTATAAGCAAAATTACCTGAAGAAAGTCACGAAGAACTGTACCAGGTCCATAAAATTGCTGTGCTGGGAGAAGGCAATCTGTGACAGAAAAACAGATAGTGTGATTATGCAGGTCATGAAACCACCACGGATTCAGGCTTCTCATTTCAAGAGTTAAGCTGAAAACAGAGTTTACATTTTAAAGAAGTTAAGGAAACTTTTTTCACTTAAGGAAAAGTACCTCACCCTTTTAGTTTTCTTGTTTAGTTGCCAGCTCCATAGCAATATGCTAAGGCTTTAGCACGGCCTCCTGCAACCCCCTCTGAGCTTCATACCAGTTCTGAGGTTCTCTTCGTTTGACCCTGGAGACCCTCGCACGCCTCCATGAAGCCTGGCCCTCCCTCCCGGCGCCTCCACCCACACAAAGCTCTCCTTGTTTGCCTCAGTACCGATTCATGGCTCTGCCTCCAGGTGGGCAGCCCCATTCTGTACTCTTCATTCTGTCAACATTTATGTACTCAGTGTGTACTGACTGCAAGATATTGTCCTTTTTACAAAAAATTGTGCCTCACATTTTGCTACATTGAACATCATCTGACAATACGTCATCAGAACTTAAATAATTTTATTATACAGTTAATAGTCTTCATACCACGAACATAAAAATACAACATATTTCATCAACTCTAAAATAACATTGGCTGAAAAAGGCATTATTCTGTGTATTATTTAGGAAAAACACTGTCAATTCAACTATGACATAATAATGCTTTTTAAGTCACTGACCATAAGACACATCGTGATTTCAGGGATATTAGTCCACGAAAAAATGCATACCTCTGAACTGATAAAATACGAGAATTGCATCCTTACTATCACCTACAATATACGTGCTACTAGCCAGATGTTGTGGTGCCTTGCCTGCTTTTTTTAGGGAACTCAGCTCTCTTTGGAGAGACAATGGTACTATCAACGAAACAATCACTGACCAAGGTGACAATCCCAGTACAGACAATTTGCATGACAAATACAGGAAGGTAAATGACCAGGATCTGCTTTCCTAGTCCCACACAACCCCAACCCTTGCACTGTTTTTAGAGCCAGATTCACAGGGGTCAGAAAAGAGACTTCCACTGTTTGCTTTCTTGATGGCCGTATTTTCTTTTTGACATTCCATAAACAAATAAGTTCCAACACTACTCAAGCCATAGTACATTATGGGGCTTGGAATTTGAAGCTTTTGTGTCCTCCCTCTGGCCACCATTTATAATAGGAAATACAAAGTTACATCAATTTCATATAATAAACAGAAACCCACTTTCTTTTCTTGTCCTTCATTTATCACAATAACCATTTCCAGCTCCTCGAGAGAAGGAAAGCTGCGGAATATGAGCCATGGTCCTCACATAAAAGTTTTAAATAAGATTGGAGGACAATTATATAAACAAGGTCAATTGGAGGACAATTATATAAACAATGAAGAATCCAAGTTGTAACACATAAAGAGAGAGAAGGAAACAGATTAGAGAACACCCCAGCCCTGTCTGGATTTCAGTCTTTTAAAACGTGTGTCCTTAGTGTTTACACGTAAAGAATCCATGAGATACTTTTACTCCCTGCTAGATGCCAAAAACCACAGGATGCTAAGGGCACTGTCTGAGGACCTATCTGGTGTTCATGTGCCACACAACACTCCTCAGGGCAGCCCCCGCCTTTCCCCACATTGGATGCTAATGGTTATTAGCCTGATTTCTTGCTGAAGCAGGACAACTCCATGTTCATGTCCAAATTATAATCATAAAGAACCTCATATAAAACAGCTGCCAGTATGGCTGGTACCCAAGACTCTAAAGGGGTCCTCTTATGTTGAATCTTTATCATCTAAGTCTCCATAGTTACAAGATTGTGTGAGGAGGCAAAACTCGTAAGACTCTGCTGAATACCCCACCCACTGTTGTCAGTCTTTGTTGGTCAATCTTTGACTGATAAGGTGATGAACTTATTGTTTCAAACTGAACACTTCTGAAAATGAAGGGGAGTGCTGTTAAAAATTACACTAGGTAACTAAAAATTACTCAATGTAAAAAGCATAAACTTGATAAGCATAAATTGGGCTTTCGCTACTCACAGTCATACAACGCAAACCAACTGTAAAATCAATTTTGCAAAAGACAAGATTTTAGTGGAGGTGCTGTTGGAGAACTGCTCACACAAAACCAATGGCAAAGGAAGACTTGGCAGATTTAGCCCTTCAGTTATCAACTGAAGAAGGGATAAAGGATGAAGGCATAGGAAGTGTTTCATAATTCTCTGAACGAGATTAAGAGAGGACTTTGGGAAAACTGAGGAGTTTCCTGGCTGTTGCTTTTACATCCTGCTGTGAAATCAGTCTCAAGTGAAGGACTCCATGATGCAGCTATCTGATTTCTGGGCACCTTGTGCACAACTGAAGCCACACCCCCATCTCTTTATCTTGCTCTATTTAATTCATAGCCCGTATCTGCACGCTTACTTATAGCAAATAAGATCTGTGAGGATTGAGGACAGAAACTTCCCCTTATCCCCACTGACCATATATCTCCAGTGCCTAAAGCAGCCACTGATACATTAATTGGCACTTAATAAGCATTTGCTGAATAAATGCCAATACGTTAACAAGAAAAATAATGATCTGTCTCATAGAACTCAGTAAGATCTGATTGATTTTTTTTTCTTTTATGAATTTGGCTCATGAAGCAGGATCATATCTGCTTCGTGATTGTAACTATAAATTTTGTTAACTCTAAAATTATTTTCCCATACTTTTTTGTTTCATTTTTAAAGACAATATCACAATCAAATCTTTCTTTCATAATTTATTATGGAAATGATGAAATGGATTTGGGGCCCTTTCTGATACTGAAGGTAACGAAAATTTCCTATATAAAAATCTATTTTAATACAAAGAAAAAATTCTAATTATATTTTATAAATAAAACTCATAATGTCATTCTTCTACATTTCCAAACAGTAGACACCATACTCCACACTCCAGGAAACCTAGAATTCACGTCCTAATACTTCCACAACCCAATTCCAACTACACTTTCATCACTATGTCTAAGGTGTATCTGCCCCATGGGCCTTCCGGATGTGTTCATCAATTCTGAAAAACTCTGAACTCGGAAGCTCAGTGAGCCCCAGGGTTTGGGGTAAGATATTATGGACCTGCACTTCCTCAACCACTAATGTTGCGCTTCAGCCAAAAGTGCTTCTGCTCACTACACTACTATACCTGACAGCAGACGGTCACCAGAGAGCCTCCCTGCCTGTGTGCATGGGGGTCCTCCCTGTCTTTCCTGGCTCAGCACATCACTGCCTCTCTTTTTCAGCACCCCTGGTCCCACTGGAAACTCTGGCAGGCTCTCCTCTATGCTCCCTCACCACTGATCTGCTTCCCTCTCAGGGCGTGTGATAATCACAGTCTATACAGGGGTGTCCAATCTTTTTGGCTTCCCTAGGCCACTGTGGAAGAATTGTCTTCAGCTACACATAAAATATACTAATCCTAACGATAGTGCTGATGAGCTTAAAAAAAAATTTTAAAACCCTCATATTTTAAGAAAGTTTATGAATTGTGTTGGGCTGCATTCAAAGCCGTCCCGGGCTGCATGTAGCCCGCGGGCCATGGGTTGGACAAACTTGGTTTACCATATACCATGGCTGTGTATAGACAGATATCCTGAGAAGAGGATTCCTGCAATCTTCTGTCTACGAAAATACCGATTCCTAACTTTTAAATTACTGTTGTAGAAGAATGAATGAAAAGGTAACTCCCTACCTCCCATACAAGAGCAGATATACTTTTGTATTCCAAGAACTAGGCCACGGCTCTCAAACTCTGGATAGCTTACAACAAAGTCAGAATCCCAGGCCCTATCCCTATCTCTATATCTTTAAGCTCCTCAAGTGATTCTGATACTAGTCTCCATAGGCCACACTTCAGGAAACTCTGAAGTAAGAAATTATTAAACATCAGACTGGACGTAGTGGCTCATGCTTGTAATCCCAGTACTTTGGGAGGCTGAGGTGGGTGGATCACTTGAGGTCAGGAGGTCGAGACCAGCTTGGCTAACATGGCAAAACTCTGTGTCTACTAAAAATACAAAAATTAGTTGGAGTGGTGATGTGCACCTGTGATCCCAGCTACTTGGGGGGCTGAGGCACAAGAATTGCTCAAACCCAGGAGGCGGAGAGGTTGCGGTAACCCAAGATCGCACCACTGCACTCCAGCCTGGGCAACAGAGCGAGACTGTCTCAAAACAAAACAAAACTCCTCCTGTGCTCCTTTCCCTAGACAATTTCTTTAGCATTTCAGGAACTGCATTGAAAAAAAAATATTCTCACCTTTACTTGGAAGGTTAAAGCCCCATAATTAGTTTGGCTCTTTTGGGGAGTGGGAGGGAGATGGGGAAGGATAAGGGTGAAGGAAGACAGGACAGTGCTTTGAAACAAAAGGAGAGGCCGGACTGAAACCTGGAGGCAGGGAAAGGGAGGGAATGGAGGGGAAGTTTCACATTCTGAAAGTGCCTGGGAATGTGAGGTGTCCTTGTGGCAGGCTAGGGAGGCTCTGGAGCTTAAGTGTCATTCTATGTCCAAGCCTGTGCCACACGAGAGTGAGGATGCTGCCCTCAAGAGTGAGGGGCCAGGGAATCGGGCACAGCAGTCAGCGACTGAAGATCAGACCAGGGGGCCTTCCCCAACCTCTGAGCTCAGTTCAGCCCTGAGGTTTCTGTATGTTCCTGAGGGAAGAGAATAGGTCTGTGCCAAAACAGGCTGAGAATGAATTTCTAATTAAGTACAGTGGGTAAAACCTGAGTCCAAGGTTACCATAAAAATAAGGAAGTATGGCATTTCTTATATTCCACTACCACATAACAATGTGATATTTTTGCATCTACTATGTGCCATCCACAAAGTAGGTACTCAAAAGCTTGAATAAATGGACGAATGAATGAATACTGAACGACTAGGAAAAGTCACTGCTTAATCAGAAAATTTGAAAAGAGAGAAGAAAGGACCTCTCATTTGCCTCTGGCCTCAGTCAGGACTTGGATTCT